AAAAAGATATCAACAAAATACTGTCTCATTTCATTCACAGGATGATACATTTATTTTGGCCTTTGTGTGTGAGCAGTATGAACAGAACATTTTGTCATATAAGGGAAAAGCACGGGTGTAAATACAAAAATAATGCTGTGTTTAGTGGCTCACTGTCACATGACTAAAGGCCATGACACCTTAAGCCGGTTGTTTTGATGGTTAACATCATCCTGTTTGGCTGTTCAGCTTAAGCAAATCAGTGCAAGAGAACAAAAGCTGCAGTGAGGGAACAAGCAAACTGCAAAGAAGGGAGGGTGCTGTGAAAGTGTTCAAAAAACTGCTTTTATGTCTGAAATCTAAGATCTTCCTGTTTCCCTTTTTGAATGACAAATACAGACTACGGTGTACTTATTGCCTGTAAATCTGACACAGAATGCACATGCTAGCTGGCCTTGGGTTATAGTCTTTGCAGAGTGTTCAAGTGCATACATTTGGCTAAGACACAGGCCATGGGAGGTGATGCAAAAAAAACGACAAGTTCTTTGATGTCTGGTCGGTTTGTCTGACTCCCAAGAGATAGATATAATGTTTCTGATCCTTGTGGACCAGGACAGTCTAATCTTTAATTGACTAAATGGATAAGACAGAAACATTTACTTTTCTGATGATGCATACTTTATCTGCTCTTTACACTTACATACACAATGAGTAACAGAAAAAAACCCAAACGACTAGCGGTCAACAGATGTACAACCCATCATCAACTCACCTCACCACCAGTGTCAGACAGTGTGAGGTTGAACAAGGCTTTGAGCGCCTCCATTGTTCTCTCATTGTCTTCTGCAGGCATAGGCAGGGCCTGTGGATCTGGAGGGGCAGCTTCATAGGGACCGACCCAGCTCACATCTAGGGTAAATTCCAGGACCTCCGTCAGTAGTCTTACAGCATGCAATTCTCTCCGAAAAACCCCTCGCACATCTGGTCTCAGTGCAGACAGTAGGAAGACAAGGCGCAGCGTGAAGAGACCCACCTCATGGTGCCATGTGCGGGCCGTGTGCAGAATGGCACACAGGCCATGAGCAAGCTGCACGTCTACACAGACCTGCTGAGCCGCAGGACTGTTATAAACCACATTGCATAGGCACTTCAAGGCCTCCACCACCACCCTCTCCTCCTCCTCTGACTGGGTGTCTTCCTGACCATTTTTCTGGTTCTCATCTCCTTCTTCTCCAGGATTCAGCCTCGCCAGTCCTCCCAGGATCAGCATGCCCTCCCTGGTGGCTACAGGGCCGAGGACACGCTTGTCTCTGGACAGGATGCGGAGTGTCTCCAGACATGTCTTCTGACAGCTGGGCTGCACCTGCCTGCCCAGAACTGACAATACGCCCTGGCACAGCTTCTGAGATGACACCGAATAACACAGATATAGATAATAACATAACTGGGCCACCGTGTTCATCTAATAACCAACCTCTCAGATAATAAGTAGTACTTACAATCCGCAGGCTCTCTTCCGTTTGGTCAAAACTGAAGGTGTGACTGTTCTGAAACAGATAAGATGCTCATTGAGGACACCGAACAACTTAACCTGAATGGTCATAGATATTGAATTAACATGCAAAGTATAATACAATAAACCCCAGCCTCTTTGAAACGGATATACATATTTCCCAGAGACCTCCAATAAGAAGCTAAAGTATGCTAATATTGCTAACTACGAGCAGTAATATAGTTAGTGAGCAGACAGTATTAGCATTATCAGGATGGTGTTGGAAACAACATACAACTCCGGGTTGCCTCATTCATATGTTTAGTGTGATATGTTAAACGATGCAACACAGCTATCATATCATACGAAAGTGTCAACATCTTAGCTCATTCGGCTGCTAAATATGTTTAGCTAACTCTAAGCTAGTTGTTTAGCTAGCTAACGTTAGCACCGTCGTTTGTTTTGGTCCACGTAAAACGAGACTTACCTCTCGATTGTACTGCAGCAGAAGCTTCTCGGTTTCCTCCTCGTTGGTATTCTCAAGTTGTGACACAATATTATTTAAATCCATGGTGGATATCTGGTGAAAGTGTAGTTAGTTTCGTGTAGACCAATGGGTGCAGGGTGCAGCTAGCTAGCTGGCCGGCTAGCTGAGAGGGAGTCAGTGTGCTGCTGCTGCTGCTGCTGTCAACAGGGAAACTCCCCACCGTCTCCATCACTTCAGGGTTGTCCCACTGCAGGGCAATGGAGGATAAATACAAAATAAATAGTATTCAAATACTGCAATCAATATTGTGCATAATATATTAAATAATAGACACAAATAAACACCCTAAGATTTTACTGAATCAAAGCCTTGTTTCCAGCAGTGGTGAAGAAATGTGTATTACTATTTACTTAAGTAAAAGTAGCAATACTTTTGTGCACAAATAACTGTTTACAAGTAAAAGTCCTGCATTCAAAATCTTTATTGAAAGTACATTATTATAAGCATCAAAATGTACCAAAAGTAAAAGTACTCATAAATGCAGAATAGCCCAATGTAAATACATATTCAGAATATTCTAGAAGGCACAACATGGTGTTGGGATATTCCTGTATTTACAATAACCGTTGTGTTTCAAATGTATTAATCTTGATATCATGTTTATTTTACACACATACAGTAACAGTCAAAGGTTTGGACACACCTTCTCATTCAATGGTTTTTGTTTATTTACATGTGTTTCTACTTTGTAGATTAAAACTGAAGACATCAAAACTATGAAAGAACACATATGGAATTATCTAGTTAACATAAAAGTGTTAAAAAATCCAGAATATCATTTTTATTTGACATTCTTCAAAGTAGCCCCCTTTTGCCTTGATGACAGCTTTGCACACTCTTGGCTGTCAGCTTCATGAGGTCGTCACCTGAAATGGTTTTGAATTAACACACGTGCCTTGTCAAGAGTACATTTGTGGAATTACTTGCCTTCTTAATGTGTTTGAGACCATCAGTTGTGTTGTGCAGCATAGTGCACAATGGATAACTCTATTTGACTACTGTTGTAAACCATATTATGGCAAGAACGACTCAACTCAGTAAAGAGAAATGACTGTCCATCATCACTTAAGAAATGAAGGCCAGTCGATCCGGAAAATGTCAAGAACTTTGAATGTATCCTCGAGTGCAGTAAAAAAAATACAATAAATTAAATTAAAATGTGCCCAAAATTGTATAAAAACACATTATTTGTCTAAAAGTAGAACAAGTTGCCTATGTGTAAGAATAGCTGTAAAAGTAACTTGTGTTTTGGGTTTTTGCGGAAAACACAAGATACATAAAAAGAAAAGGAGAATGAATGAATTTGTATAAAAGTCTGTACTCCGTACAGTTTATATTGGATAAAATGACCGAAGCATTGTGAAATGTCTTGTAAAAAAAGACATTTTGAAATGACACAAGTTTAAAAATACATTTGACAGGAAACATTTTAATCGCAACAATAGTTTGACATGTATATTTACTGTGTGGCTTAATCTTGAATTTAAAAATGAAAGAAATTATTTTAAAGTCATTTTTCCTTTCCAGAAAATTATAAAATGACCAGTCAGAGATTCTTGGAATTAAATACAATAATTTATTGTAAACACTGAATGAGGCGATGATCCTGCAGTTCAGTCTTTTCATAAAATCCCACAGTTGCTTGTACACAGTTATGTGATGCTGCAGAAAAATACACCTCTTTATGACTGACTGGTGAACAGTGGTACTTTACATGCCACCAAATGGGATCAGGATACAGTTGCCTCACATTTAAAACATGACTGAACTTAAGTTTGCATGTTTTCTCTTTGCCCACATACTATTCCTTCCACAGTCAAAAGGCATGGATTTGTGAATCTAAACTGCCAATAACTGTGAGAGTAGATATATATGTTTTCCTCCCTAAAATATGTAACAGTTTCTATTAAGACCATGAACAGGAATAATTTATGAGGTATTTGAATTAATCCCAGTTTTTTAATTCAGGTGTATTTATGAATCCACTGACACCATAATGCATTTTACAGAAATATATTGTGAGTTTAACCACTAACCCAGTGTGAAAGTTGAAATTATACTTTTCAATATATGAGTTATAGATTTATTTTAAAGCACATAAAAGATGAGAGCTACTGGTCATGCAGGACATGTTGCTGACAGGGACGTCCTCTTGCAAACACACCGAGAACATTAAATCTCCCTCTGAAATCTTCAACACGTGGATATTGAAACTGAGCTCAGCTGATTATACCACAATGATGGGGTGCCATTTTTTATGCATTAACAGGTTTATCTGCTCGGTTGTGAATCCCAAAGGATTTTGGAGAGCCATAACACAGAGGATCTATGTACCAATAAATACAAATTTCGGCAGGGGTCAGAGGTCAAAGGTTACGGGACTGAGGTGCAATGACCCCAGCACAGCAGGAAATTCTCTCTATAGAAATGTAATTCTTTCTGCAGTGTGGCCCTTGTTCTACGGGCCCAGCCCCCCACCGTGTTGTCACTGCATGAGGAGAGAAGCAACAATCAGCTCAGACGACTTCAGAAAATGTTTTTCTTTCTCCAACAACAAAGTGTGAACTGGAAATTTGATGGAAGCTGAAAGTGGAGAGATGCATTGTGAAATAGAACTTTCCATCATTAGAAATAAAGATGTCATATTTAGTAAATTAAAGTAACATTTTAAATAACAAATCAATAAAATACATTTAAAGCTGTTTTATAGTATTTTAAAATACAATTATATAATAAATCAAAGAACAAAGACTTAACTCTAGTGCTGACGTTCATTTTGGTTATCAACCCGATACAATAATGTGTTTAATTGAATTTTGTTAACATTTGGACATTTTCGTGCATGATTATAAAAGAACAAAGAAAACGTTTGGACAAAGACTCATTTGACAAAGATTTTAAATCGTCACCACAGACGGTTTCCAGTGCTTTTATTTACAGAAAAGTGACTAGACTTTATGTTACTGTACACTTTGATAATTTCCCTTTTTATAAATACCCATAGGGTAATAGGTCCTCAGTAGCTTTGAGTGCATCATAAAACACACAAACCTAGGTTAGTGCATCTTTCACTAACCATACAAAACAGAGAACAAAGTACCAATTGTAACATAGAAAATAAAGGATACACCATGTTACAAAGTTACAGAAAATACATACTATATATATATATATATTTATATTGTCACGGGAAAACAGCAAAAAAGATCGTGACAGAATACACTCACACAGTTGTTTTTGAGTCACAGCATTCAATCATTAAAAAAAACTATCCAAGATGGACACACCTTAACACACTGATCAAGGAGTTTATAACCGTCCTATGATTTGTTATGCTTGGATTTGTGCCGCTGTATAAACTGGTAACGTTAAGGCAGTGCAGATCATCCATCCTGCAGCAAACCAACTTGCTGCAGCGAGCCCACGACAGGATGCTGCACATAGCTGAGCAACGGGAGGAGGCAGCGGTTTACTGAGGATACACAGCTTACGGCACACTGATCCGTCAGTCATTGACAAACTGACTGAGTGTTGATGGGAAATTTTGTTGATGACGAGGGAAACAGAGGTGTACATTCCTTAAAACAAAAGGCACAGCTTGGCAGCAGCATTGCACATGTGAAATGATTTTGCTGCAGGTTCAACATACATGATTATTTTCCTCCAGCAGTGAGCAAAAGTGTTGAAGAAATGTCATTAAACCTCGGCACAAGTTACACCACAATCATCAGTAATTTCAAATTGTCAGTTCGTCCATACGATTCCTTATACCTTGCATCGGTACTTTCCATTCTCTAGTCCTCCTATTGTGATGTACTTGATCGGAAGTGTTCAGAGTCTTTGCATCCACCAGTTTGGAAGGCCTGGAGTTGCTCACGGCTGTCCACAGCAGTGATTGAGTTTATTTCGCCCAGCCTGTGGTGGCCTCCCCGTTTATGTAGGCAAAGCCGGGGAAATGCTGCGAGTGTTCGTACTCTGAGTTCCTGCGTGGGCCCAGGGGAGAGTACATGTCACCAGAGGCAGCATAGCGCGATGAATGCATAGGTGGGCTGGTGTAACAGCTGTTAGCTGGCGACACATCTGGCCACCGGGGGGCGACAGGTGCCGGGTGCAACCGAGGAGTGCTGCCCATCAAGCAAGGCTCCATCCGAGCCATCTGGCCGTTGAGCTGGTACTGTGGAGGAGAAGAGGAAAGAAGTTATGCTGGTGCAGTGGCATTAAGGGTTGTGAGAAGCCTAGCATATGCAGTGACGAAGAAAAGCAGTAAATGCTGTGCTTGGAAAGTGACTCAAAAGATTAATCGTGTATCCAATATCAGAATATTCTATAAGACTCATTATCAGTGATTTGAATAATCAATTAATCAAGTAATTGAATATTAAGACGTTCAGATTTGGCAGCCAATTTAATTTAAAAAACAAATCTGGACCTGAACAGCAACAACTCTGAGCAACAACTGATCAGGAAAGGTCACATTTTTGTTTTGGTTTTCTCTCAGGATGTTACATCGTACAGACGATATAAGATGCAACGTGTCAGTGTGTTAGTAGTTCATATTAGTTAGTGAGCTAACTAATAAAGCAAACTTTGTACCCTTTGAATTAAGCTCAACTAGCTGTTTCCACGAGTCTCCAAGGCATGGCAAGTTTATTTATATAGCACCTTTCAACACAAGGCAATTCAACAAGCCAGTCTTTATGCTAAGCTAATATAATCAGCTGGTGGATGTAGCCCTATAAACAGATATGAGATTGGTATCAATCTTCAATCAATCAAAAGTTGGCAAAAAAGTGCCTTTCCCAAAATATCAACTATTCCTTTAATGAATTTCAAAATGCTGCCAGGAATAAACAAGTGTAGAAATACGGGATCCTTTACTTTATTAATTGGGATAAAAGTAGTCAAACTTCAACATGCAGTTCTGACTTGCTGAAACCAAAATATTCCCAGAGCACGTACAGAGGACATGACCGCAGTGTCCTCAAAGGTAGCTTTAGTCCAGCCAATATCTTATAGGACGCTTTGTTCGCTCTGTAGCGTTGGGTGTGAACTGACCCTGCTGATGGTAATTTCCTGTCAGGGGAAATTGCTTCACAAGTTGTACCAGTGTCGAAATAGAAAATTAAGCCACTTAAGAAAATTAGACTCTAGCTCCGCTGAAAGAGTGGTTTTCCGGTGTTATTTTTGTTGCCTTTGGTGACTGATGCCAAACAGCTCCGACTAAATCTGCCAGATGACAACAATATTTTGAACAGATGGGGATCCGACAAGGTTTTATTTTCATCTCAGCTCCATCCCCAACCTCTCACACGGACAAAGCACAGGCATTGTGCCCGATTTAAGCTCAGACAGGCTTAAAAAAAAAAAGTGGAAGTAGCACCCTTTTCCTTTTCTCACTAAATATAAACACGACAGTTGATTCCATTATGAGGGATCATGGCATGGAAAAAGACAGTCAGTGCAGGTCAGAGAGCAGAACAGACGGCTCAGCTGCCTCTTGTTCACAAGCAGAAAAGAGACCATTGAATAACAATATTTTAATAAACGCCCCCTTGCTCTGCTCTGTGGCTACTGGCTCAAACAGATGAAGAGACTATTGAGAAGTGGAAAGAGGAGTAACAGAGCAGGGCCCCTCTTGGCCCGGCCAAGCCACCTTTCTCTGTCTGCTTCCGCTGTGTAGAGAGGCTGATTCTGGACTGTTAGACACACTGCGACCACTGAGGCCCAGCTGATGTCAGCTGGAGGGCCCTCCACGGGAAATTACCATCAAAAGAGTAAACTCACTCCAGGCGCTACACGAGCTGTAAAATCAGCGTCTTAATCTCATCTCACCTCCTCCTGTTTAAATCTTCAGTCTTCATCTGACTTCAAAGCATAGCCTCCACACACATTCTCTAATATTGACATATTTATGTGCATGTTGTATGCTAACAAATGGGCACATTTTTGCACATATGCTATCTTCTTCTTCCAATTTGATCTTATCATAATTAACAAACATAGCACAATTGCAAACTGCTCTGCAGTGTAGACTCATTCAGTTGAACCATTAGTAACACTTAGTCGACACACGCTCGTATTCACAGATATTTTTGCAAACATCAGAAACATTTGTTTTATGTTATTGAGTAATGTCACACTCATTTTCATCTCTATCTATGGACATCATCCTTATCTGCAATTTAAACAGGGTGCTAATCTCGCCAGTGAGAAATCACCAGTTAACATGTAGGTACAGTAACACCCATTTCATTTAAGTAATCCCATTAAATGCAACTTTATACTTCTACTCTATGACATTTCAGAGATAAAGATTGAACGTTTTCTCTACCACATTTTACCTGAAAACTACGGTTACTATGTTGCAGTTTCATATTTTAAACACAATCTTAAGTATGCTGCTGAACTGTTGGTCAGTTACTTGTGAAGTTAGGCTTTGCACAAACCACATTTGTATCCGGTTATAAACTGTAATTTCATTTGTATTTTATATTATCCATTTGAATCATTATTCCTGCACTGTACTATGTAATTAGTTCTTAATTATGTTACATGTGTGATATTTCCAGCACCACAGACACTAATATTGACAGCATTCTGACTGTCTTGATTTTGTCCTATTGTTTTGTTTTTACTCTTTAGGCCCTATTTGTATCAGTGTGTTGTATAAACTACTGAATGCCAACCTTTTCGTTAGGATATATAATCTATCAATTGTTTTACCTTTGAATGTTTGACTCAATTTTGGTGATAATATTTCAGTACTATTAATCATGTACAATATTGGAATAAGGACTCTTGCTTTAAGTTCATTGTAATGAAGGTGCCTGGTACTGACCTGTGCAGAAGAGCGGTGGTAGGCGGAGTAGTGGAGGGGGGGTGGGATCGCCGGATCATGGGCCAGACTGGGATACTGGCTCTGGATGGAGTGAGGGTGCTGGTTGGCGTAGCTTCCATAGTTGTAGCTACCAGTATACCTGGAATCAGTGGAATGAGGTAAGAAAGTTAAAACCCATTAAAGAAATTCTCCAACATATACAAATAATTTAATGCTTAAATCATAATAATTACCCATGCTCCTCTCTGTACACAGGCAGGCGGTGGGTGGAGGATGGGGGGGGGACTGGAGCGCTGTTCCTCATGCAGGACAGCTGCTGTCCGGCCTCAGGAGTGGAGCCGCCGGCTGTTGTCACTGTGTATGTAAGGGACCAGGTATATGACTGAACAGCGCCTGGTAGACACATATACGGACACAAAGAAAATGTGTTGGCTCCAAGAAGCTATGTGCGGTGAGAGCATGTCTGTGTGTGACTGAGAGGAGGGTCTCACCTGTGGTGGTGGGGACCCCGCTGTACTCCGGGGACACGGCTGCAGTGGGGGAGCTGGCCGAGGAAACGCCCACTGAGTGCACCGAGCGAGCGGGAGAGAAGGATCCTGGAGAGGGGGAGGTGGGGGTGGGTTCTTTCACCGGGAATTCCTCCTCTCTCTCTGCTGAAGGTGTCAAGAGAGGACAGACTATTAGACAGTCTTATCAAATAAAAAAAATATGAAGTTACTCTCAAATCACATCAAACATGCCCCCACATTGTCATCACTCAAAATGCCCTAAAATCCCACCACTAGCTTTCTCAGCTACTCCCCTTTATTTCAACATTTATATTCTTAAATTGTCTTTATTTTATCAGTTTGTTTGAGCCAAATACAAGTCTGATGTACAATAATTATTACTTTGAAAGGTTAAACTCTTTGTGAGTGGTAGCTGAATGTGTACAAGTAAAACACACATATGGGGGCAAAGCATATGAACTGTGTGTACAAAATAAAGTGACGAACTGAATAAAGTCCCCACAACAAAGTAAATCTACACAATTCTAAGTGAAAAAAGCATGCGAACGATTTCAACAAATAACAGCGCATCATACTAGGACCTTTTCAGTGATGCAATCCTCTTATTCTACTACGCCGGAAGGCATTTTTGCAGCTATACTGTCATTAATGATCTCACCTGTGCTGCCCTCTGCCTTCATGGCCCTCATGAGCTCGATGGCTCTCTCCTGGCAGTGCAGGGACTCCAGCAGGTAGAGCACATAATCATCAAACATGAGATGGATCAGGTGGAAGGACCCTGCGTACAGAAGACAGGACCAGTTATATACAGAAGGAAGACGACTCACACTATTTATAGAAGTTATTGTTTGTAAAAAACACACAGTGTGACAAAGGATGTTCCCTTATCTATTTATCAATTACATGTTGGTCTATTGAATGGCAGAAATAAGGGAAAAAAAAGTCTGTCCTAGACTCTGAAAGTCCAAGATGATGTCTTAAAAAGGAGGACATCAAATAAAACCAAAAATCTTCGTAACTACATTTGCCATTAATCGACTAATTCTTGCATCTTTATTATGGTCATGAATGATGACGGCTGTTACAACTAAAGCGATTCTAAAAGCATCTGAGCAATGACACCACATCCTGCAGAGTGACATGAGGGCGGCTGTTATTAAAAAGAAGCGCGTACGCTTGTTTCCGTGTACCGAGTCAGTGCCAGAAATATGTCAGCTGACCCCGGGGTCACACGGAAGAGGAGACTGTGGCATGTGAGGGAAGTGTCACAATTGTGTCATTGTGCGGGTCCTTGCCGCTGCCGTGCGCATAATAAAAACTTGTGGCTATTCAAGGGAGAGGGGTGTAACACTGACCGGTCATAAAATGGAAAAGACAGGCAAACACATCGGGAGAGGGGAGGGGCGCCTTTTGTTAATTAGCTGTTTGTGCACAGAGACCTGCTTTATCAAAACACTGCAACCAGCTGTGTCTTTGATATTCACAGACAGGGCCACGCAGAGGAAAGACAGGCCATTTTATTTGTACTACTCTTCTCTTAATACAATCCAACAAGCTATTAGAGCAGCCATTTTATTTGTTTCTCCTCTTTCCTTATTTGAGAACAATATAATTTAAAAAAGAATTAAGACATGTTTATTTGTTGCTACTGAACCCTGGAAATAGTAAATGTGCACACGTTTATAGTTCAACACTGCTTTTTAAGTTTCGGTGTTGCAGCTTACCAAAAAGATCTTTAGCTGGGATGTATAAAAGGTATAAAATCCCTGGATAAGCGATATTCAATCTTTAATTTAGTATTGATGCTCAGCAAAAAAATATGTATATACAGTTATGTACTAGGAAGGTTGGTCCATTAATGTTATGCATAATCTAAAGTACAAAAGTTTTGCCTCGTGAAAAGCAGGATTCAACTATATCATTTTGATTGAAGGGATACACAAGCCTTAATAGTAGACGGTTTTATTCATAGAGGCTGTTATAGACAAAGCTCTTTATTTGCAATTTAAGAAGTTATGTTGTTGCTTAACACATTTTTTACCACTGAGATCTTTGGTATGTTATAAGTGTGTGTATTGTTTGCAACCTGATGCATTAAAGATTAAAAACATAGCATTAGCTGCTCACCAAAGCTGGGCGCGCTGTGGAGGGTCATATCCCGGATGACTCTGGTACCAAAGCACGACCACATGAGCAGGAACTGTTGGGCCACCTTCTTCAGGCACCCGGGCCTCTTCGCTGCCACCTAGAGAGAGAGAACATTTCCATGAGAAAGGAGGGGGAAGGGTTGGGAAGCCGGGGTAGAATTAACCCCTGGGTCCGCATTGGGGCTTAACCCTCAGGAACGAAAAACATGTCAACAAGTCAACTATTTAATTTGCCCCCGGGGACACGCCTTCCTATTGAACTATTGTCTGGGCAGTCCAAGACGTTGCCAGGGCGACCAGATTTTACAAGCCCATATCTGGCACATAATGGACGCAAATGGGAAGCTTGAAGACATCATTAACTGGGAGGATTGCAGCGTAAGTGCCTCTGTGTAAGAAAGAGACGCAGAGACGAGTGTCTTTCAGCCACAGGTGTCTTTTTAAGGGCAGAGTAATCTGACTTCTGCTGCGCAAACACTTGAATCATTTAGCTAAAATCACTTCTTAGTATCAAACATTGAAAATATATTAACTTTATTTGTGAAACTTTCACAAAATTGATAAGGTAATGCTGAGTCAGACGAGGTTTTAACCCTAATTTTTATCAAAATGAGTGAAAAAAAAGTATTTGCTGTCTGACCTTGACGACACAGCGGTCCACCATGGAGTCCAGCCACTCGATGTACGCCTCGATGGGAGACTGCTCCTCCAACAGACGGTCAAACTCCTGATACACTGAGACAGGAGAGAGATCCTCAGGTTAAATTGTGTTTTACATCACTCTAAAACAAAAAAACTCCCAACTTCCATGATCTGTGACCTCTGACCCCATCAGGACAGATTCAGAGGAGTGATACCGGAGTGAATTGGAGATGCTCCGCAGGGTGTTTCAGGGGAGAGCAAACTTGTCTAACCTTTTGCTCTCCATCATTAATGCTTTGACTCCGCCGGTCGTGGGAAGGATTGTCTCTCTGTGTGTCACACTGCGTGGCAGTAGAGTGTAATTCTGGCTGGGTGTGTTGGAGTCACTTTAAAGCGTGGACTTACAGTGGATAATAAGCTGCCTGTGATCATCTTGTGAGTCCTCCATGGTGTAAAGTGTCTGCTTAGTGATGCTGTTCAAGTCCACATTCCTCCAGTCCTCCAGCATTTGAAAGGTAATGTCGGCACTGTTTATCACAGTCCGAGACGCCTGGGGACAGATAAATCGACAATATTACCAACACGAGCATACCCATATCAGCTCTGTTTGTTCATATGGATTTGATTAAAAAACATTCAGAACAAGATATGCACCTGACAGAGATGGTTTAATGATGTTTGCCGCTTTAGAATCTGGGAAAATCTCCTTGATACTGAAAACAAGAAAAACATGGTTAGTATTGTTATCATGCAACATTTCTGTTTTAAAATAACATTCTTAAGAAGTACATTATGTTGAGATGTGATGTTATAGTTACATTCAAATTTGATATTCCTCAGGTTTTCAGGAAGTTCGTGAAGTGCTATCTTGAGCCACTCATCAAGTTGTTTGGCAAATTTTCGAATAACCTGAGTCAAACTGTGTGGATGAGAGAAAACAGAAACATTATTAAAACCATAAAGAATATTAATAATGGACATTTATTCCCTGTATGAAGTCTGTCAATATTTATATAATATTTGATAAAATATCAAAAAATAGTAAAAAATAAAAAAGACGTGGACTTTTCCACAAAACAAAGATATTTAGTTTAATTTCACATGCGAGAGAAAAACAGCAGATGCTCGATTTAGGAGTCCAGGTCATTTATGTTGATTATGCCTGAATTTCCTTTTGACAATTAATACGTTTCGTCAAACTGAGGTTTTGACTTATCATTTCAGCAGTAACAATTACATTTTCAATAAGCTACGTATTCAAAAATACTCAAAGAATCAGACCACAACAAACCCGACTGGTGTTCATGCAGACCATGAGAAAGACATGCTATGTAACTGCAATGAACACTGTGTTTTACACAATGGTACACATAATATATTATGCTGCTTATTTAACAGTATTAAATAGTAAAAGGTATAGTACAGCAAGAAGTGAGCCTTTGAAGTAAATTGTATAATTATTATGAAGGAAAAACTGTTAGGCAGCCTAATGTTTGGTAAACAGCTTAAATTACCAAACTGAATCTTAACCATGGCATTACGTTAATGCAGCAGCTTGAGTTCAGACTGCAAAACAAATGTCTATAAATGCTATGAAGTCAGAGCAGTAAAAGACATCCATACATCCTATCCAGTTTTAGTAACAGAAAATGTAACACATCTTTAGAGTGAAGGTTTCTCAACAGGTGCTCACCTATCAGGCAGTGCTTGCAGGACGGTGGGCATCAGCACCCCAGAGATGGCCTTGTAGAGGATGGAGTCACAAACACCGACTATGTTCACCACAGTGTTGGAGCCGAGGACAGGGAGCATGTGGGGGGGCATGCCCTGCCAGAAGTGCAGCAAGAAGCTTTGGACCTGAAAGTAACACACACAACATGATATTCAATACTACAGGAAATAAAGGGTCTTCTTTTAACATTAACATCTATTGGAATTCATAAAATAGAATCAAACTTTTTGTTGAAATGGTTTAAAAAGGGGAGTAACTTGCCTCATCGAAGTTGGCTCTAATAACAGTGTCCAGTATTCTCTGACAGTGCGTTCTGTACATCATGATGAAGGTTGACACCTGTGGGTAACAACGCAGGATTAATCTAATTGCATCACAAACTTAACAGCTTTTATCTGTTTGGGAAAAGTAAAAAGAGCAGTAGAAAAACAAGAGAATAAATCTTGTACAAAGCATGAGAACCAATAAATACATGTTACAGGTCTAGGCTGGAGCCGAGTAATATAAAACGAGCTTTAGAGATCAGCAAAACACAAACCATTTAAAATCATGGCCTCTCTTTAAAAGCCGGACAGCTAGTGCCTATCCTTTGTTCATTGCTAGATCTTATTATCTCCCCGGAAGATTAAGAGTTAGTGAGGAGCCAGCATATAAATCCTCAAGGTCCTTCTCTAAATGCAAACCCTGTGAAGGTCCCGGCAGATAAAAGGCTGGAGCCAGAGGGGGCGCAGAGTTGGTGAGATGGCAGGGAGAGTTGGGGAGAAGGGGGGTTGCTGTAAGGATGGACTTTTAAAACTCCTGTTTACCCTCTCTTCTGACAGGTTGGCGGGCAAATTTAGGTCTTTGACATTTGGAAACTCTGGCAGGAGTGTCCCCAGTTTGGAGCGCGGTGAATACGCCACTGTCTGCTTTGTGACCTCTTTCTTCCCCGTCTCGTTCACCCACGCAGCTCCCTTTTTGGAGTACATCACATCGTAATACTGAGAGGACTCCTTCACCGCTATGCCGTAGTAGTGGTACCTGAGGAGAGCAGAGGGGGAACGCTTGAATAACATCTTCTAAGTACAAACACTTCAAACTGCAGCTTTAGAAAACTGGGCTAAAAAAAGCAATGAAAAGGAAAAAAAACGCCTTTTAGAAATAAATGTATTTCATTTCATTTTTTTTCATTTAATCGTTTATTTGAACCGGGACAGTGCACATCATGAACACTTTAAAACAAAAACAATGTTTAAGCTAATTTCCATCCGCAGTCCCCTCACATACAACATACAAGAACATGACATTTATATACATAGCAAAAATAAATATATGACATGCAGAAAGAGCATGAGCAGCATACAAGCATTTACCACATTTATATCCAACTAATACATTTGTTAGAATGCTAGTTTCATAGGATTTGATCTTGCTCTCTGATTTCTCTCTATATATTTTGAAAGAACAAAATTATCTTATTAAAAACAACTTCAGATCTTAACCAACATTACATGTGGTGAATGCTTTGACTCTGGGTAAGAAAGTGTAGATATTCTGTACAAATATATTACAACATTATTTGTTCGTGTTGTTATCCTGTGTCATACTTCAATCTAAGGCTTGACAACTTGTTTGTGTTAAACTGTTCATATTTATTTCATTTTATATGTTCTGTGGCTGCAGTTTGATTGAAATTGTTTTCAGTTTTTGGGGAGAGAGTCTGATAATAAGTGAGAAATATGTTCTCAGTTTGTTAAATAAAAAGACCAACTTACTTCGACTGCCCTCTTGTCCCCAGTCTTCGGGTAGTTAATGCTGGAAACTGTTGCCTTATGATCTGTTCGGTGTAGGAGAGAAAACGTTAGTCGGTGTGCTGTAACTAAAGAGTGAGAGGTTACATCAAATTCATTCTAAGTAATTCATGAAAGTAAAGAAAAAAATAATTATATTATTTTAATATAAATATGCATACAAGTGATAAAAGGAGCCATACTATAAGATCTTTATAAAATGTAAATTTGTGAGTGTATGTTTGCCTGATAAAGTTTGTCAGGAGCACAACATCAAAGTCTCAGCGCTGTATCCACAGGGAGGTCTGAGAGGAGAACACAAGCTTTGAGAGCCATCTATTTATGACATCCAGGGGTATTACTTTTTCCCTATATCAACAGTCTCCCCTCATCTGTCCACCCACCCGTCCTCTCTCCTTCTCACTCTCTTTCTCTTCTCCACTCCCTCCTTCTTCCTTTCCTCTCTTTTTGTCCAAAGAGATTGGCTCCTTGGTCCAACTCATGGTGCAGAAACTTTAGCAAACAGTGTAGCTCTCCATTGTGTGGGATGAAAAAAGAGGCCAAGCTGTGAAGTTTCTGTCAGGCCCCGCTTGATAAATGAGCAGACAGGGAGGCAGTCCGGGCCCTCTCTCGTTTTTTTGTCCTGAATCAATGAAGCCTTCCTAAAGGACACCCCACACTGCTCCAGCCACTGATCTAACATTCCGCAACATCTCACCCTTCCAAATTTCCTTTAATTACACATTAATCCAGGCCCCTTCTCTTTTTCAATATCTTCCGACAGGAGCTGCGGAGGGGTGGGGGTGGGCCGGGTTGGGGGTTGGGGCCTGAGTCCAGGGTACCGGGATGGCTGGGGGTAGCAAGGCTGAGGAACTTCTTGGGGTTGTGGGAACAGACCAAAGCACATCTCCTTTGGCTCGAGATTATGTGTTCAGTGAGCGAGCGCAGAGCTTTGCTCGCGTCACACTGAGCTGCAGTGGATATTACTTCAACAGCAGCCAGAGAGCTGCACAGAACCAAGCCAGGCATGCAATGGTCACACTGATGCTCACGGCTGATTTAGTGCATGAGATTATTGCTTTTGTAAAACATCCAATAAAGATTTATTTCTAATTCCGAGTCATTTTGCTCTGATTACTTTTAATTCACAGTGTGTAACACATATAAATATATATGTACACTAAAACACATGTGTTATCCAGACATTTTAAAATGATCACGAGTTAAACTGGATGGACAAAGGGAGGGATTGCTAGACCTTCATCTACTTCATCTCTGTTTAAATCGTACCTTTCCGAAGCTGGCTGCGTTCACAGGCTGCGTGTCTTGCTTCTCACTGAAGTCTAGGTAGTGCATGTAGAGGGCACTTCTGGGGATACACACACCTTCAGCTATCTCATAGTTCTCCTCTAGCCTGTGGATCATAATTAGGATGCTCAGTACACAACAAACCAGCAGTACTTCACTGTGTAAATGTTTAAAAAGCCAGATTAAATTAATGTCAGCTAAATAAATGGATGCAGTGATTGGTTTTAGTTTATTTCATGACTGTTCCTACTTGCTAAGAGTCATTTATATGACGGAAAGAAACACCTGATTTACAGTTCCAAAGTTTTAAAATGCACAAAAATGTTTTATTTTTGTTGTTTTACATTTTTTTAATTAATTGTGCTCCATCTACAATGTTTGGATTTTTGTTCAAATTGTAATTTTTATTTTGTACTGTAAAGCACTTGATAATGCATCAGATAGTCAGATCTGTGACTGGAAGTTGTATTTGGAGTATTTCCCTAACAAAGTAAAAACTCAATGCAGTTTTAAAGCCTCAATAAAACATCTGAATGCGCGCTGTGTTTCCTGCTACAAACAATTGCTGACAGGGTTGTCAACTAGCCGTAAATAAGGATCATTGCAAACATATTTAATCACATTGTCTGTGTAACTCCTCGCAAGGAACAACAAAATGAGAATAAATCAAATAGGGATTGACCCAAATATGAGCCTTGAGGAACACCAGTATCATTGCTGTGATTTCTGATGTGTATTTCCCTCCTTTAAACATGTCACTTGTTTTGTGGCAGATTTGGTAAAAGATTAGATGGATTTTTTATCATTTATGGTTTTGAAATCTTTTCTACAGTTTGCATTAGTAAAGAAAGCCCCCAACACATCATCTGCATTTTTACTAAATTCAAATGGCAGATAACGCAGTGAGAACAAAATCTCTGCTGCAAAACAAACTGCAAATAGGTCTGTAGTGATTTTAAATATAACATGGCTGACATATTTTACAATGAGCGTATATGTTGTTTTTTAAATGTTAGGAACAACTCCTTCACGTATTAATCAAATATGTTCATAGTACGAGGGGCCCTGTTAGTTTTAATAAATGTAACGTCCATTTTGTAAAAATGCTAGAATACACAGAGTCTGGATCTTCAGAGCGTTAACAAACTACATAAAGTTGCTATATTCAATGCAGTCCATATTAAACCCTGCCACCATCTCACCTGCATCATTACTTACATTAAAAATAAATATAAAACATGTCTGAACTTTACTGTTAGTATCTCAAGTTGTTTTCAGATCATTGAATAGCACAATGCTGATTTAAATGTTTTCTCTGCCTTCTGAGCTTAACTTCATTGCTCAGTTCTTAATAAATCTAATATTTATTCTTGCTGGACACAAAAGCTGTCAGAGGCCGTTCCTGTCGTTATCAGAGTTATGACTTCTACTACTGAAACCTTTTTTTATGTTTTCAGGTTTTTTTTGTATTTCATAAGACTGGTTTATTCATGAATGGCTACTCTCTATCGATCTTGTTAAATATATAAACCTAATTTTAGTGACTTTCTCAAACTCAAAAACAAATAGTGGTCAAGCCGTCCTATGAACAAATATATTATTTCTGGTTTAACAATGAAAACGCAATCATCAGTTAAAAATGATGGTTGCAAATGTAGAGGTATTGTGAGGTTTTTCTTTTTAAAATGAATTTTTTTCTGTAGTTAATTTCACTCAAAAGAAAAAAAGTCTCTATATGCGGAGTGAAACTATCATAAAGGCCAATTATAGCACCATTTATGTCTATAATGCTTCTCTTTAAAAAGGTACATTGACCCAACTCATGTTCCTCACGCTGGGTTTCAGCCCCCTGCAGTGCAGCTTAAATCAGCATAAATATTCATTATACCATGTGCTTTTTGAATACTATTAGTAAATGGTGTCACTGGTCATGGGGCAGTGCAACAGACAGAAAGATATGAACTACAGGCATGTGTGGGGTTTGTATTTCATACATGCAGAGGACAAAGATCTGATACATGCTGCTCTTCTTATTAAGACTGTTTGCATAAGATCTTTCTATGATAGAACACATCAAACTTCCCCATTTGGAAAGACAAGAATAAAATCATCTCCTATCATAATCATGATAAGATGATAAGAAGACTTTGTTATTGGTATTTTTTTTCAAAATACTACATTTGCTCACCATGTGCAAACATACGGGGAACCAAGGATGCAAATTTGGTATCAAACATGACTGAAAATTATAAGGTAAATTCATATTTAGCACAAGTGTTTTACATTTCATCTGGAGAATAGAAGCTTTAGTAATACTTATTCGAAGACTTCCCTACATCATTTTACATTTTATTTACATTTGATTACTGCTGTTTGACATATATTGTTGTGTTTTTGTTGTTCACAATTTTCCACTTAAAGTTTTTCATCCGACTGAAGGACATATACACAAATATTTTTAGTAACTTACCATTCAAGAGTAGCCGGTGTCGAATGTGGTTTAGAGGCTCTGTTGTTTTCTTTTTCTTCATCTGTAACACACGTCACATTTAGGATTTAGGGATGAAAACGTAGTTATTCATGTAAAATGACAGTCACAAATATAGCACCATTGAAAGTGTGTGTAACGGACACAATAATATAAACTGTCATCATTAAATGACACTTATTGTATTAATGGATAAACAGCAGCTATGAGATGTGAAGTCAGTGGTTTTAGTGTAACAGTGTTCGTCCTGCTTACGTTCATCATTGGACATGTTCCCCAGAGACGTGTGACTGGAGTATCGCTTGCTCTCACTCTCGTTGAGGCATCGTTCAATCCAACTCTCTAAAAAAGACATGAAGGACCACAGATCACAGAGCTGCACAAATTGTCGCCTCTTAGTAAACTCAAAAAACGATTTTATGTTTTATGTTTGTCAATCAATCAAAGTTTATTTATATACCCCAATATCACAAATCTTACACTCGTCTCAGGGGACTTTACAGTTCTTACAGAATATGAATTACGAATAAGACACCCTCTGTCCTTAGACCCTCACATCGGACAAGGAAAAACGTCCAAAGAAACCCCACAGTTAATGGGGGAAATGGAAGAAACCTCGGGGGAGAGCAACAGAGGAGGGGTACCTCTTCCAGGACGGGAGACATGTTTATTTGAAACTAGTCAAAAAAAATAAGATTTTTAAATATGTGCCAACAGGCCTTTTAATCTTATTTGGCTCAAACAGTTTATAGCAGTTTTTCTATTTCTTTGTATAAAATTTCGTTGAAACTGACACTGTTAAAAAAACTCACTTCCTGAGGTGAACTTATTTTGTCCGCAGTATAATAGATCCAAAGCTGTATTTACATAAACAGTGCAAATCACTAGCTATACAGGACACTTTAACTGTTGGTAATGTGACAGGGCGAGCTGACAACAATCAATTGTATAGGCAGCGGTGCGGCCATTGCTCTATTTGAAATGTTTTCACCAGGACGGCAGGAATCCAGCATTGTTCCCAGGAGACTACGAGAGTACACACTCGCTTAAAAGAGCCTGCACACATTACTGAGGCAGTGTGGTGGAATAGAGGCCATTGTCCCGTTTTAATTTCTACTTAGAAATAGCTCAACTGGTGTGCTTTCTGTGAGCAGGCTGCAGCAAATCACCAAAGCTTTCATGTAGAAACAGCCTGATACGTAGAGTGGAAATCCATTTAAAATTCTGGTTGTATTAGTTTTACGAACTTTATTTGACCAGTGTAATTAGGAAGGGCATTGGACATTAATACTATTATTCTTGTTTATATTAATGCAAAATGTTGTGATTTTCATTGTTGTATTATAATAAGAAGCTAACTAGACACTATTACTTGGGTATTTGTCCTAAACAGAGAAATAGATTAAAAAGTATTATATTTTCCACTAAATCTGGTGAATACAATTTTATGTACCCTAAAATTAGCAGCCTAAACTACCTCAGAAGTTAACTCAGCACATACAGTACTCAACATGTTACTTTTAACAAAATAAAAACATTACATTTCTTTAAATCTTATTTTTTTCTGCATGTGAGCTGACAACCATAAATATAGCAGCTGTTGCTAGGACAGCCTCCTTGCAGGACGACCTGTTGGTGCAGCCCATGAGGAGGTCGCAGATATTTAAAAGTTTTAAAGTTTACACGAGGGATGGGCTATCTACAGCTCGATGTTCAGCATGTGCTGCGAGACGAGGTCAAAATGTCTCATCACTGCACAGCAGAAAATAAAAAACCGGCACGCTGAACAGGGAACAAGTGTTTTCTTTCCATGGTAGTGACATTTTATGATTAGAAATGTACTATTTATTGATTTTAATTAATGTTTGTTATTATCATCACATCTCACATTACTAACTGACTAACAGCATTTTCCTCGCCAAACACAATGCATGTTAAACAATTATAAAACAGCCTTTGCATTTGAAATGTAACTCTACTGACGGCCGACTGACATGCATAATCATTATCGGCAGTCTTTGCTCATGGCTACTTAAAGAAAAAGCCTGTATTAAAAAGGTGAATCCACTGAAGTGGAGGTAATTCTCCACAGAGGCTCAGATCTTACGCTTCATTTGCCACAGGGACAGATAAGTATGGGATCTAAATAATTGGATTAAATTTGATCAACAAGTGAAACGGACGTTCTCTCATTTATGAACACATTCTGGGCTAAACTAGTCTCCACTGCACCAGCACACTACACATGTGATTTTTAAGAATGTAAACTATTTTAAATGTCTGTAACCAAAGTCAATAAAACCCCTTAACACATTTTAACACATTGAAACAACTTAACTGTTTTTATTTTAATCTTTTATCAGCATGGGCCTTAATCATTATTGTTTCTGAAAACCAAATAATCTAGGTATGTCAACACGATAAAATACAAATATATATGAATGATTATTCTTAACTAATAAAGTTCAGTTTTGCTTTAGTGTTCCAATCTTAAGCAAAACTTAAAAATAAGCTTAAGAGCAAATACAGATAACTTTAAAGTCCACCTCTATGGGCATTTTTTATTTTATCCCTCCACTGTTAATTATGATGAACGAAGATCATTAAAGTTGGTTTAACTGTAAAAAACTAGAAGCCACTGGACCGAGCCACTACTGAAAGATCTAATAGCAATTCCCTGCTTTCTGTGACTTATAAATTAAGCAACAAGTGAAACACTTATAACATAACAGCACTTCTGATAAATGTGCGTGACCAAAAACAGTCATTCATAAATAATTTAGGAAATTAAAATTCAAAGGAAACGAGTGATAAAACCGTGAGAAAAATCATCGGCCGAGCCTCCAGACAGTTCCTGACTGCATTGAAAGTTTGAGACCTCCTGAAGAGCATCAGCAGAAGCTCACACAACATTTCTGCTGGTTCCCTCAACACATCCAGACAAAGCAGAGCGGAATAAGAGGACTGACCTGTGGAATCCATATCAGGCTCCTCCAGCAGCCCGCAATGCATCCTCTTCCCATCAACGACACTGGCTCCTCCAAGAAAATGGCTTAGTGCACGTTTCCCCCTCCTCAGCGGCTCTCCCCTTGTCTCGCTGTGTGTTTCCGTGACCACTGCCCGTCACAGGAGATGTTGAGGATCTGAGGTTCGCCCAGAGAGGGGTGGTGTTGGCGGAGAAGAAGGGGGGAGGTGGGAATAAGGGAGGAAAGGGGGGGGGTAGAGACTCCAGAAATCCAGCGGGGGGAAAGCCAGACCCGTCAAAATGTTTGCTGATGTTTCATGGGAAAGGGGCTGATTTTATAGGAGCCCTGATGGGGACATGTCATTGATAGGCTTGGAAGGCTGATGAATGGCCCCAAGTCAGATGGGGATGTGGCAAGGCTCACTGGAAGTCTTTTGTGGAGCTGTTTTGAATAAGAAAAGCTCCCTCCCAACGAAAAAAAAAGAGGCTTAGATCTACGCAGTCCTAACACTGTGGCCTCCCCGTCTTCCATTATGGCATTTAATACGTTTTTATACACCCCAGAGCTCCATATAAACATACATGCCTACACAACTGCCGCTCCTGCTTTTCCTTCTCATTTTAAATTTCACATCCCATGGACACTTGTTGCATTTGGTGAGTTTATCACCTCCTTCAACCATTAACAATCTTTAGGATAACTTTTTTGATTCGAGCCATCGTGTTCTCAGGCATACAATCAAACATTGGAAAAACTTCACCAATGTGGATTATTGTTGGTGGATTTTCACCTGTTTTTCACTCACTCTTTCGCTGTGGCAACCTTATTTTTGGTGTGCCTCTCAGAAGAGGGAACGGTCACAAAGGGGGGGAAGTAAAAGTGCAAAGCCCGAGGCTGGGAGGGCTCTGATGGAGTGCCTGAGAGCTGGAGAAGCGAAAGCTGTGATTAGAATATGAATGGAACCACAGGAGAGGGGGAGAGGAGAGGGGAAAGAAGAGGGGAGAGGAGAAAGGCGGATTATGGCTGAATTACTCACCACACCATGGATAGCAAAGGAGGACTTTCTCTACCAGTGCGCAGGCGTGGGCACCACTGCTGCTACTCACCGACACACAGACACACAGACACCGTGCAGCCACCTGTGAGCATGTGTGGGACAGGGTGGCAGCAACATCACATGGGACACTGTGCACAGGGTCATACTTAGTTAGAGCAGGTCTGTGCGTCCTTTCAGACTCATGTGGGAAGAAAGAAGCTGCTCAATGAGTGACAGGTCAAAAGGACTTTGGAATTATGTAAAAAAAACTGTTCATCATAACATTTGAATAATTTCCTATTACATGTATCTGTAAATTCTCTTGGTGTCTAAGAAAGGATTAAACAACAAATATGTGCGTTAACAGCCCACTAATGAGAGCACTATTCAAAGGGCTAAATGGTGGCTAATGCACAGCCGTGACCTCAAAGGAGGATCTAATTAATTTCAGTCAAATAAGGAGAAGGTGGAGTCTGTATCTCCCTCAGTGCAAGACACCGTTATCTGCTTATTAGAGGCTCATAAAAAAGGACAGGTGCAGCCACCAAAAGAGCCTCTTCCACTCTGCCCGCACAAACGGATGTGTACTGCTTTTGTTCAGTGAAAAGGCCCCAATTGAGTTGTGTGTGTATGTGCGAGTGGGGGGTACCGTTACGCTATATACGACATGTTGGTGGCATTAAGGCTTTGGTCCTAAAGAGGAAACCGTATGACTCAAAGCTACTTTCTCTTCACATTGATGTAAACCACGAAAGTGGCGCTTGTTTGTATACAGTAAGTCCTCACCGAGCATCCAGCTGTCTGCACATCTACAGGAGGGATGTCTTCAACTGTCTGCTGCTTAAATTAAATAATCTCAGTTTATAAATACAAACAAAAAACACCCCAAACTAAACTCATTCAAAGGGTTTTATGGGCAACCGATTAATTCTAATGGACCTCATCAGGCAGCAAATAAAGTGTAAATATTGTAATTAAATATCGATATATTAAGCCTATCATGGTGATGTATCTTATCTCAAGCTCTATCAAACCATACAGGTCCAAATATTACTTGATTAATGATTAGACAGAATCAATTGGCAACAATTTTAACAATCGTTTTAAGTTTTTGTTCTTCGAATCTCAACAAACACACAGCAGCGGATTGTGTAATTTTTTTTCGTGTTTATTATGAACATATACAAAAACATAATGTTTGGAAAGTATCAACAGAATGAGAACCTTCACATTGTTTCGGTGTGTGATCACCAACAAAAATGTCAATCTGCTTTAGATTGTTTCTTCTTCTGTTCCTTTGTAAATACTATCTCTCAACCTTTCACTCACTTCCACTGTGTCACTCGTTGTAGCGTGCCAGTTTGAGTCGGGGGATGATGTTCATGGACTGCAGCTCCTGGAACAGCAGCTTGCAGGCGTACGGGATCCGCAGAGAGGAGACGTGGCAGGAGGACTTGCAGTAGTGACACCTGAAGATAAAAACCGAGAATCAGACAAGAAACAAATCCTGTTCAACTTTTGCTCAAAAAAAGACAATGCTGCATGGGATTTTGATTCTTTCAGTGGACATTGTTGTACACTGGATCATGTAAACTAATGGCAAAGGTTGATGTCCTTTGACCTAGATGTTTCCTTAAATGCACCTTCAAATCTTGCATGATACTACATTTTTTTTACAAGAAACAGATTAAAGGACATGATGGTATGATGAAACTGAAATCATTTCGTGAAAAGATGAACCTGTATGTTTGTTTCCAGTACAAATTGACTCACAGATCTGGAGATGTTGACTGAAATGTTCAACTTACCACCCTGAGTATCCCAGCAGGCCGCACTGCCCGCACACGTCCACCTCGAAGGCGTCACTGGAGATCATGAGGCGCTCCAGCAGCAGCATGCTCGCTCCGTAGCCGATCAGACAGTCGCGCTCCATCTCGCCCAGACGCAGCCCTCCGTCTCTGGAGCGACCCTCTGTAGGCTGCCTGAGGACGGGACAGAAGCATGACATTATCACTAGAGTAGTAGAGATATTGATAAATGAGAGCAACACAGTTTTATTTTTGTTATTTCTGTATAATAACAATAGGACGGTTGATTTTACCTGGTGAGGACGGCTCTGGGGCCTCGGGCTCTGGCGTGCATTTTGTCGAGCACCATGTGCTTCAGTTTCTGATAGTACACCGGTCCGAAGTAGATATACGCTTCCAGAGGTTCCCTGAGGGAATGAGGTAAATATCAAGCTAATGCATCTGTAAACATTTAGTCATCACTACAGTACAGATTATTCAGTTCAAAATGAATCACTTGTCAAGTAAAAATAGACACTTCAATAAAAAAAGAATCAGTGTTTTCCAGCGCTGTTCAGTTGTTGCTATTGCTGCTCCGATTGTTTTTCTAAAAACTTAAAATACAGATGCCCAATAACTTCAACTGAAATGTTTTGATATATAGTTAAGAATGACTAAGATCTTAAACTTATTTCGTAAAAAAGTGGTTAAAACTGTATGAAAAAAATATCTAATAATGACATTATCTGGCAGACGACCTTTACACAAGGCAAAGGAGATATCTTGTCATTACAGGTTACCAAATATATTTAACCGTTAGCTTTATTAAAGTAACAGATTTTTTTATTTGAACCTTGGTACACAATTAAAACAAATATATATCATAGGTCTAGCGTTTGTTTTATATTTTAATGCAGAAATGTTTCATATAACTTTGAAACAAATACTTTTTCCAAGTCCGATATTCGAGTTTGCTAGACGACACCAACAACATAGATTTACCGAAATAGTCCTTAATAAGTGCTTATTCACTAAATCATGAACTCCCTCTGAGATAAAAGGCTCAATATGTCTGATATGATGATTTTCTGCCTCACGTTAGCTTTATGTTTTCACAAACTCAGTGTAAATAAATAAACAATAAAAGTAATGTGACGTGTGTTTGAGTTGTGTTTAATGGGATGAAACATGAGCTCTTCATTACCCAGTGATTCCTGAGGTGACAAAGTCTTTGCCCTGGTAGTTGTACCCGTGGCGGACGAGATCCTCACACACGTCCTTCACCTTGCTGCCTCCGAACGCCGTGCCGTAGTGGAAGCATCCGTCCATGACCCCCGCCTTCCCGGCCAGCAGCTCGATCAACTTCCCCACCTGACAGGATCAGAAGTCCACATGTAACGAAGGCTCATTAATAACATAAATCTTCTGTGCTTTACACTCTTCACTGGCAGCGAGTGTTGATATTGTGGGTGTGATTAGATTACACATGTACCCCTTGGGGTGGGACCGGCAGTCTAAGGATGACTGATTTCAACAATTCCACTGAGGTCTCACCCAGAGGACCCCTGACCCTGACACATAAAAGGAAACACCTACTCTCATTTCACTCTCAGGCCACAGAAACATCCTCCCGAGCCAAACATTTCTGAGACTTCTCCATGACAACCACAGCGAGCAAACACACTGGCACTGACAACTTCAGCAGTAAAGATCATTCAAGTTTTTACAGTGTAAGGGACAAAAACAGGCAGAAACGGGGCCAAGTCATTCTCATTCAGCCCCATCCTGCGCTTCAGATGTGCTGTGCATGTTTGATAAAACTTCCACACTCTGCTACAGGCGTCGGCTCATTGGCAGCCGTCTCCGCGGCAACAAATATCTGTTTGTGAACAGTTAGATTGCTGCTTAGCGGCGTCAATGGACGTGTGCTCTGGAGGCCAATGATAACCCAGAGAGGAGAGGAGCGGGATAATGAGGGTTTTGTCTCTGAAGAGCCGACACAAACTTATGAAGAGCAATGGTCAACAGGTGATTCAGACTGAAGTCACAAATAACAGATTAGGTGTTGAATCATCAAATGTTCGAAAATAAAAGTTGCTGACAAATAAAACACAGAATATCAGAGCTTAAAAGATTATTCAATCAGTTTATAGAATGCAAAAAAATGAATCTGTGACTATTTTCATAGTCCATTATCATTTAAGTCTCCTTTTAAACCTTTATGTAAAAATATTTACTAAATGAAGTGGCTCAAATCTAATAATTTGTTGATTTTCTTTGCATGATTAATAATGAAGTAGATGTATTTGGGTTTAGGGGAAAACACATTTAAAGACGTCACCTTTATCTGTGGGAAAGTATAATGGCGTTTTGCACTCTTTTTCTGGACAATACAATGAAAGGACTCAATGAAAAAATAGGAACACTAATCTCTGATGAAAATCATTGTGCTTTTCAGCATTACAAAATATTTTCTCCCACAGTTCGTACCGTCATTCTGGAGGGATATCCGTGAGGGTTCATGATGACGTCTGGACAGATGCCCGTGTCACAGAACGGCATGTCCTCCTGAGGGACGATGAGGCCACAAACACCTGATACACAGGAATAAAAATCATAATGAAGTCAATGGATACATCTTTATACAGCAGTACTTTTACAGACATCTTCAGATGATGCACAAGAAGCACTTTTAAAATATTTTTCTTCAAAAAACGCTGTAAGAATTTGTACACTAAGCAATAATTTGATTGATAAAATAATCTAAATATGTATTGATTGGTTTGGTTTTATTAAGCAAAAATGACTAATTTGGTTAAAGTTGCAGCTTATTACATATTAGGATTACATGATATACACCATTTATCATTATTGGTAATCTAATAGTGTTTTATTTTTTACGATTATTACGACTCAACAAAAAAATTATCTATATTTATGGAAAAAAATAGTTGGCTCCATTTTAAAATCCTCAATTTTAACCTAGGACTTAAACCAACTTTGCCCATCAACCTAACTGACCACAGTGTTGTGACTTAGACATGATGAAACTTCTAGTAAAAGTGTTTGTTGCGGGATGCTGCAGGGGGGCTTGGTGTAGACCTCTGGCAGAGCTTGACATTTCCATACTCCTGTGGACAGACTGGGTCCTCTTGTGATTCACATGATGTGGGGGACGAGCGCCCTGGTAGCCAGGAGTTTAAGTGCGAGGGCAAATGTTTGCTGAGGGGCCGAAGCACTCTTCACTGGCCAGGGTAAACAGATTGTAGGCCCATTTGCAAATGAAAAAAAGAGAAAGAGAAGAGAAGGAGAGCAGGAAGTGGAGAAAGGTGCTTAGCTTGACAGGGAGACTGGGATTACACATCCATGACTTTCAGTTTAACTCGGAGGAAGTGGAGGGGATCAACTGGAGAGGAGAAATTGAATCCGTGCACG